TCATGTAGTTGACTGGGTCTATTGACACGCGGAGGCCCTAATTACGGAAGCTGCTTGTTTTTCCCGTGTCCCACACCTACATTAACACTTCCCTCTCCCCCCCCCCCCACCGTTTCTCCTATCCCACAGAGGCGCTTTCCTGATCAATCACAAACTGATGCAAGTCATCAATGAACAGGCTGTGAAGGAACGGCGGGACTTGGAACGCGTAAGCAAAAAGTTGGAGAAGATCGCAGCGCGTCAGAAACAGTTGGGCAAGAATGCAGCCAACCTCAATGAGCACTACATGTGTACGTGACATCCTTTGACCTTGCGTTTTTTAATGCTCACCGGATTGCAGGGCGCCAACCTCCCAGCGTCCAGGTTTTTCATTCACTCCGCCAACATTGGTCGATGTACCCAGTGTTTCCTGCATATTTGCCTGTTAAATTTATACCGGAATTTCTGCACCTATGTTTGGTGGCCAAAAAAGTCAAAACTCCAGTTAGCTAAAGAAAGTGCCTGGTGGCTAGGCAGTAATGGACTTCGGTTTGGTAATACGCGTATGTCTCATCCGGTAGAACCAACATACCGACCACCCTCAGGGTTTTTATTGATCTTCTGCCCTCCAAACGTCATTAAGATCGTGTGCTTGTCAGGTTTTCCATTTGAAGAAGAAGAAGAAGATAGGCTCTCCGGAACGGGTTTATTTACCTGCTGACGTTTCAAAGAGCTGGGTCGGCTCTTCATTGTCAAAGCGTAAAGTTCACTTAATCGATCAGAAAGTTAACTTAAAGTGGCAAGCTGTGTTGGCCGGCCTCATGCTGGTCGATTTTTCCCCCTCTCGCTGCCTCGTCCTCTCGGGAGATGGTTGACGGGCGTTTTGGCTGCGTGCTTTGTGAGTCACTACTCCGTCGAGGGGAGCTGATTGAATCTCTGTCGGCCGATCGGTCTGGCCGTTCTTGTTCTTCCTCACCGAGTAAACTCAGCGTCAGGCTATCTTCGTACGGCCTTCTGAAGTCCGGTGTGGTTGTTTGGTCCTGAGCTCTACGATTGTGTTGACGTAGGACTTTGTAAGCTGCAGGAAGGTCCACATGCCTGTTGATAGAGTGATCATAGGAGAACCACGCCTCGAGAGTTAGCCGTTCTGCTTTTGTATTGCCTCGCCCTAAGATAGTAGCCCTCTGGAGGTCAAAAGTATGCCCTGTTTCTCCTACGTGTGTTGCTAGTTGAGAGTTAGGGTCTAACCTCCGAGTGGCCGATTTGTGTTCTTGTAGGCGAGTTTGCAATTTCCGCCCGGTTTCGCCCACATAGTTGCAGTCGCCCTCATTGCAATTTATATTGTTGATGACTGCTGAGGTTTCAGCGGGTGGCAATGGGTCCTTGGGTTGCATCAGGCGACGTCGAATTGTTGCCTGGGTTCGATGGGCTATGCCTACTCTGGTGGGTTGTCACAGTCGCGAGACCGCTTCAGAGACCCCTTTAACGTAAGGAACGGCCCTCCAGACTTCAGGTTGCTGCTACTTTGGCCGTCGTCTGGGCGCCCAATGGCTGCTTCTCTCGATGATGTGTCTAGGATAACCATTGGCGGCAAATAGATTCACAAGTTACAATCGTTCGGCAGTTAAATAAATCTGTTCTGGAGAGCCTATCTTCTTCTTCTTCTTCTTATTCTTCTTCTTCAAATAATCTTCCCGTATCTCTCAACTTTGCCAATCTGAACAGGTTTTTAATTGTTGGAATGTCTGTGGTTTGCCTCAATGGGAACTCTTTATGCCTCCGGTTAGAGCAGTGATTGCATACCTAACCAATTTCAGAAATGTACTAATCACCTTTTGTTTTTTTCCCACGCCTAGTGATAAGATCCGGCGATTATTACCTCTTTGAGGGTGATCCGGAGGAGGAAGAGCAGGACTCTGGCAGCGACGGTGATACCAAATCTGGCCACCAGCGTGGGTCTGGTCCTGACGGGGAGCAGTACGCTCAGCCTGGATCGGAGAAGGCCGACAGGTGGACTGGTGGAGGTATGAGTGGTGAGCTGGACAGCAGTCACTACAAGATGCAACGTCAACACCTTCGTGATGCCTGGCCAACCATAGAGACCAATACCCTGGACGTCCTCGGCCACTATACTGATCCCTACACTTCCGATCGGTAATTTCACAGTATACAGACGGCCTTCTCCAACTGAACCCTCTCCTTATTTTTTTTCTAAAATACTCAAACCGCTAGTTTTAGTACGTGAACCTCTGGGCTCGAAGGGGGTCCATGTTTCTTCTTTACCTCTTAAACTCGCAGTTACCAACTCCCCAATGATTGGAGTTGAGGTCTGGTTTCTGTGACCTGGTAGCCTAAATTGGGACAGAAGGCGAGTCGTTTATGCCCTCAAAAGAGCGGCAGATGTCTCGTAGGACACTTACAAGGGTCGAGTTCCAGGAAGTAGTTGCCAAGGCGACACAACTTCTGGAACAGGAGCTTTATTAGCCCGACGTTTCGGATTCTCGCTGGAATCCATCTTCAGAGACAACATCAGATGAGGGCTGTAGATTGCTCAGGCGTTGCTGTATTTATAGGAGCTAGTTGCTAGGTTACTAGATGGCTATCACAATTGCCAACTCCTGAGTGCCTCACGGTCCCACTGGCCAGGTGTTGCAGTGTGCAGTTGCCATGCGCCTGCACGCCGGTCAAAATTACCGACTCCCACCCTCATCGCACGCATTCGAGTTGCTAACTGCCGGGTTTCGTCATCCACGTGGACACTAGGGTAATTTGGCTCACTAACATTGACACCAGGAACAATGGCCCTCCGCATGCTCTATGCGTGGCTGATTACCTTGCTTAGGCAAATTCTCATCGCCGAACATGGAGCGGGGAGGTTGTTGCGCTTGTTGATTGATTGAAGGCCGGAAAACCATGACTCGAGCAGTTCGCGGCTCACTCGGTTGCCACCTCCCGCGAGATTTTTGGCTTCATCAAACTTGAATGCTTGGTTGGGTCCCGTCGAATGGGCCGTGACTTTGGAGGTGGCTTCGTTCCTCCTCACTCCAGCTGCAGCTGCGGGCTCGGCCATCCGTGTCCGGAGTAGTCCTCATGTTTCTCCGACCTAGTAAACAGAAACCGTCTCACTGATTTCTGATCAACTACCTTTTCCCGGACCCTTCCGGATCGCGTTTTCTGTAAAGCACATATATGTCACCTCTATTTCCAGACCTACAGGCAGACAGAGGCCAGACACCGGTCGCAAAGACAGACGCCGAAAGGTCTCAAGAGGTGTTGGACAGTCTGGCAATCTTTCCTCCTCTTCGGATGACTACATCTCCGCACCATCACAGCAGCACAACAGTACCAGGCCCGGCTACAAATCCCACCGTCGTTTGGCCTCCTATCCGGAAACGTACAGCTGCCCTCCAACTAGTCAAAAGGCTCCCCAAGAGGCCATAGAGATGCGGGTTATTAACAGACGCGGCACGCGGTTTCGCTCTCGAATTGCTGCCGATGCAGCACGGAGCCCTCCGCGCGGGGGCCTCCCAGCCGCTGGGGCCACCACGATCACTGCCATTGCTACCCCTAGTTTTGAGTCTGCGCAATCTCACGGTGCCACCACCAGGCCCTCTTCGCTTGGCCATAGGCGCATTGCTTCTGCGGGCGCTATTACACCTAGCTCTGGCCCTTCGGCACGCACTCCCAACCTACCCTTCTCCTCTTCGGCCCAGCCAATCTCCGCGACAAACAAACCCTCCGCCAATGCATCAGAGACCGGAGAGCTGCCCTCACCCAGCACTGGAGCCATCCGACCTTCTGTTGTGACTTTCGCCCAGCCTGCTAGATCTGAGGAATGCAGGCTATTCCATCGGGCCGAGGACGTCGACGCGGGTATGATGGCCGACGCTGACGATGATGATGACGAGGATGACGCAAATCCAGCCCAGACCCCCGCCTCCCGTATGAACCCCTTGCAACTCCTTAATCAGGCCATTGAGCATGGCGCCCGGAGCACCGTACGGCAGTACCGCAAAACGATGGCAGCTTATCAGCAGCAAAGCATGATCGGTGGGGAACCGGAGTCCGGACACAGAAGAACCTCTTATCAGGGCGACGGAAATCTGCGGAGGACGGTAGGACTGTGTTTTTTTGGCTGCATGGGGACTTCTGGGTGTACCATTGCTCCCTGAATCACTGCCCTAGGTCTCGTTTTATTTTGTAGAAAACTGACAGGTCCCTCAACGAGCCTCGCTCTGCCTCCCACCGTCTGCGACTGGGCGACCTTCCGGACGGAAGCCCCATTCACAGAGGTCCACTGGAGCGCAGACCGAAGAACAAACCAAAATTCACTAAATCGGAGTCCTTTGACCAGGACGCGTATGCCGAGCCAGGTGACGGCAAACTGGTTGTGCAGGCACATGTGAGTTTTTTTGTGTCAAAAACACACACCTTACTTTACATACATTGTCGTACTGTTGACTGGGTCGCATATTCCTCCCAGGACTCGGGCATCGAGTTACGCCCCCTTCGTGACCGCCAGACCGCTGCGCCACAAGATGCCAGTCGTCACGCCAGCGTTGCTGAGGAAATCATAGTGCCTACAGAGGAAGTGCACAGAACGAGTCGCTGTAAGTCGCCCTTCTCCCTCCTGCCACGCCATTCAACACAACATTCGGCTCGTTGCTTTCAGACACATTGCTCAACCGTACTCTCGCATTCGTTTCTTTGCAGCGGTCGAGAAGGAGAGTTTTTGGAGTCGTTTCAAGGCCAGTTGTCTCATTTGCCACATGTTCTTCCTAAGCACCATCGACAGAACTATTCGTCTCCTAAATGGGGTTACTCGGGAACACCGCCGAGTACGCCGTACCATTGATTTGGAGAAACGAATGGTCAAGCGCAGGGTGTTGGCTATTGTGGAGAAGTCAACAGAAGATACTCAGTGAGTACCGGTTCCTGTCCCAACTATTTACTATATGTATATATGTGGCAGATGGTTATCCCGTACCCCTGACTTAGGCGCTGGCTGAAAGTCCAGACACGCGTTACACCAATGTGATAAAACTCGTGTCGTCCGGCGGGGCCTCCTAGCTCAGGTAGTTAGAACGTTGGCTGTACTGAAGCCTGCCCCTTACTGCGTGGGTTCGAATCCCACCGAGGCGCCGAGTTTTTCACAGTTGGGTCAATAGGAATTATTCAAAATCTGCCAAAATACCTATGAAACTTTATTTCGTAAATTTTCGAGTCTAGTTCCCCAGTTCGTCTTCAGACCTGTAGTAAGTGTGAAGAAACAGTCAAAATTTAAACAATGCCGAAAAAATAGATATTACTCTGTCATGGCTGAGGATGGGTTGATGCTGTGGGCTGATGTCACGTCTTGATTGGCTATTACCTTTTTCATTTTTCCTTGAGATTTGTGTACATGGCGTCAAGATCGATGCGTCGATTGATGCATGAATCATCAGAGTGAATGGCCTCTAGGAATTCTCGGCCT